ACAGAAATAAGAGTTCAAAAACTAAGAAAATGACCAACTTAATCATAGGGACAATTCTGGAGTTCATTATTATATCCCAGAATTCAATCGAGAAGATTGAACCACAACACAAGATAGACTAAGTACATGAGACTGAGCTGGTGAAATAGCATTCTACGACTTTTTACTAAAATATTGCTGCTTTTCTTCTAGGCTTTGTTGTCCAGTTTTAAGAGTTTTTGTCTTGTCTTGAACTTGTCAATAGGTTCATGTACCTACTATTTGAACAGAATACTAACCTATTTCCAGGCTTTAAATTTTAAGCAAATTTCCTTCCCAATTCAAAACTGCTTTTCTTGAAATTACCAGCTGAACTTGCTATTGAAAGTAGTTAGATTATTTAAGAAATTGTGTGATCAATAAAAATTGGGGGTGAAGAAATGGAATGCAACTATAGACACCAGAGATAATGTGAAAAGAGGGTGGGAAAGGTCAGAGGGTCAGACATAGGGGTAAATATAAATACACATACATATGTGAAACCAGAAATAAAAAGTTATTAATGATAACATACATGATTAAGCCATTATGCCGTATTTTCTGAATGGGAAAGTACTTTTTGTATGCTTTGATGATGATTACGGGATAAAAGTACATTAATTCATTAAAAAAAAGTTTCAGGGAAAAAATATATATTTGATGACTGCAGTAAGGTAAATAGCCCCAGCTAGGTGCTACTTTATAGTATTCTCATTCTACTCACTGAGGTTTATGCCTAAAGTCAGACTTGTGTTCATGAATAAGTATATATCAGCTGCACTTGCTATTGGAAATATTTGGATTAATTAAGTTCATTAGCAAATCAATAAAGTGGGGGGAAAGGCATAGAAAGCAACCATGGATAACCGAGAAAGTGTGGGAGGAGGGTGGGTCATGGCAGAGGGTGAGAGATAGGGAATCAAGGATGGCAAAAAAAGCAAAATATACAGGAAACAAGAAACAGAAAATTATTTATTGACGATAGCACGTATGTTGATGTGCTTGACCGAGCCAATATACAGTGTATTCTGAATGGGAAGTCTCATTTTCTATGCTGTAATGATGGATGTATAGTGAATGAATGTAAATAAATAAATTTAAATTTAAACAAAAAGAAAAAAAAGAAAAAATATCCCTAACTCATACATAGAAATGGTGAAAAAAATGTCAACGATTAAAATATTATAATGCTTAGAAATCAGTGATAGTTGGCAATAGGATGGTTTGAATAATGTATAAATGATTTAAAAATATTTCATAATGACTCAACAATTTATTTTGGTTTTAGGTCCAGAGAAATAGAATTTATATTCTCTAGAAGTATGTAACCATTTAAGCCATTTACATTATTGAGGATTCCTCAATATTCTGAATGCTATTTACAAATACCTGTAGAATCCATTAAATCCCTTTCTTAAGAGCTTAAGATATTTATTTATCCACAAAATTCACCCCCCACCTTTTTCTCCATAAAAGTGACACTAAGAGAAACTGGTTCCAACATAATAAAAACTGCCAAAACACATTTCATACTGACGTGCCAATGATAGGATGGAATAGTTGTTGGAATAAAGTAGGTTTCACCCTCCACTTAAGTTGGGTAAGAAACGCTGATCACAAGTATCTCTTCTGAATCAAAGGTTGCAACACCATAATAGGTTTAGAGTGTAAGTGCATCTATTAGGATGGCTCACGGGAAAAAAGAGCACTTCTAGTAATTATACAAAGGTGTTCCAGGTGAAAAAGATTAATTTATGACCGTAATACAAGTTTTTGGAGTAGAGAGCTACAAGACTCTTGAAGTAAATGGTTGTGAATACCAGATATAATGCTGGAAGAGTGTGGGTGACGGAATACAGTCTGAGGAAGAACATTAAGGAGAAAAATGGAGAGGCAAAGCATTCATGAGACAAAAAAAATGGGGTATTATCTGTTGAACATAACTTTATAGTATTATCAACTGGACTGGGGAGAAATGCAAACTTTGCAAACTAAATGATGTGATTGAATGTATAAAAGAACTTTAAATAAAATAAAATGAAAAAATAGACTCTCTAAGTTCCTTTAATACTATTATATCTTTGAAGCACTCTCTCAAGGAGCATACTCACCCCATCTGGCCGGCCATCTGAAGCTGTGATGATCAAAATGTAGCGATCCGTGCTTTCTCTGTCCAGTGCTTTCCCTAAGGTGAGAATCCCAGTACTAGTGACAGAAAAAAGAAACAAGACAGTCTTCTCACTACAGTGAACTATTTTTGTTAGTTTTTTTCCCTCAACAATCACAGTATTTAAGATATATTCAATGTACAACGATTCATACTGAAAATTGAACAAAGGCTTTTAAAGCTGTCGAGGGTCATAGCAATAATGAAAAATTACAAAACTGAATGAGATAACTGAGTTGATTCTCTGGCCTCTAAGAAATAACAAAAACAAAAACTATGATTAATTCACTCCAGGAAGAAAGATATCTATCATGCTTACCATTGCTTAAAATCAAGACTCCATTGTCTTTGCTGTCTCACAATTCTTTCAAACAACAAATTGTTTCTAATAACTAATCTAAATCACTTTCCTATTCATTGCTACATACATGTCCATTATAGAAAATGCAGAATGTCTAAATTCCATCTCTAAGAAACCATATGGATAAACATTCATTTTGTGTTCATTCTTCTTTCAAAATAATAGAGGCTTCTTTCAGAAAATTGGAAAATGCAGAGAACTTCTTTTTTATGATAGGTATTATATCGGTCCAGGCCCATAGTGCAATGTTTAAATGCAATGCATAGGACATTGGCTTCCCACATGACCAACTATGGTGCCAATCCAGGCCCCAGTGGCTTGAAGAACATGCTGGGTGTGAGTGAAAATGTGTTCAGAATGAATACTGGATGAAGAAATGGAGGAAATTAACAGTATTCAATTGCTTCTGTTCCTTCCTGAATACTGTTAATTATACTACTGCGTGTTTAGAAAAGTAAGGAGCAGTCAGTGTTCACATGCATGACAGCATCTAACATACTTGGTTCTGTCAAATAAACCTATGCGCTGGAATTATTTTGCTGGCATGTCAGTAGCACTGACTGTATTTTCTCACTTGTTCAAATTATTTCCAGTGAATTTTTGTCAGCAGTTCATTTTAAATGCAAATTAATAAATTTTTTAAAAGTAAAAAAAAAAGAAAGAAATGGAGGAAAAGGGACTGCAACATGACCCTGCTCCCACTGGGTGGCGCGCTCTCTCATAAGTACACCTGTCCTCTGATCAAGAAAAACAAAGATTAAATTAAAAAAACATATTATAATTACTTTTTCTGCTATTTATTCCTGTTCCTTTTTACAACTATATTTAAATGTATAATTGTTTTCAAAAGAGAAATCAGGCTGTATATATACATTCATTTTACAAAGTATATAATTTTATTAGCATTCCCTCCCTTATAGCTTATAATGCAAAACTTGGGGATACACTTATACTTATCATTTTGTTATTCTTTTGAAATTTAGATAATTCTGGGACCAGCAGTTAGTGTAATGGCTATGTCGCTGAACTCCCATGTAGTCGACCACAGTTCGAGCCCCAGACCCGGTGGCTTAAACTCATGCTGGGCATGTGTACATGTGTGCCCACAACCCCGAGAAGATGATGGAGGAGAAGGGATTGTGGCATGGCCATCCCCCCTGAGGGGTGATTTCTCGCTTTCTGTCTCTCTGTCTCTCTTTCTTTTGGGAGAGCGCATGTGCCCTAGAGCAAAAACCACTCCAAAAAAAAAAAAAAAAAGAAAGAAATTTAGATAGTTCTAATTTAACTTATGTATAAAGAGAGATGAATAGCAGTTAGGCAATTTTTATAATTAGAACATTTTACTACTTACTTTCTTACTGTTCAGAATGAAAACTTTTAAATATTTAAAATTTTATTTCCCAATATAATTTGTTTTATTACAGTTTGGTTATTTATATTGCTCTCTAAAAAAAATGCCATTTATTTCTTAGGTTTTACCAATTCAACACCATACATGACATTTTAATTAAGTCCTCACAAGCATTTATTGTAGCAGATAGTTTATCTTAATAATAAATCTTTAAAATATTTATCAAGTATAAAAACGTAATTTGTGTCTGATTGATAAAAAGCTTTCATTATGATGTCAGTGATATTCTTGTAATAGTGGAATTTAAACAATTCATACCACATATGGTAGTTGAGTATAAAGAGTCAAAACCCATGAATCAAAATCATAGTTACTCCATTTGTCTTGTTGTTGCTTATATGGATTTAAAAACAGTTCTAAACATATGGTGTGACTATGAAAAACTGACTTTGCTTCTTGTAAAATTTTTTAATGGTTTGTCAAAATAACTGAAAGCAAATTCCCAGAGTATGTGCAAAACAACCAGGTTTGGATCAACTTCCTGTAGTACAGATGGCTCAGATAATCTCATTCTAAAATGACATTCAAAGAGAAAAGTAAGACATTGATTGCCTCTGAGACTTATTCATAAGTAACTTAAGAAAGAGGAACTCTGAAAATCTAGTCACAGCATATTGAGTTTTTTTTTTCTTTTTTTTTCCTCTCTCTCTCTCAGCTTAAGTTCTTTATATTCCTATATTCTTCCTCACAGTAGGCTATAAAACTAAAAAGGTACTCAGTAGTGCTATTGAGTGCCATATTTTATATATAAACACCTGTTTGTTTTTTCTGATTGAAGATTATAATGAAAATAGTCCTTTGCTAAGGATGATGTCTACCTTGTGGACACAATGTTGTAAGCAATGGAATGAGATATTTGGTAGATGGGAAAGAGAGGAAGAAGAGGTATTCATAGCTGAAAGATGAGTTAATGGGTACACAGGAACAGCCTTTCATGGAATCCCAGAAATACATAATACCAAAGTCTTCTCTTCTTCCTGGATGGACACTATCATACCAAAATACACTGGGTTGCATTTAGGGATGTAATAAACCATATAAGTTCATATATTAAAAATACTTAAGTATTGGGCTGGCCCTATTGGCTAATGGTTAAAGGAGATGGATTTCATATAGCCAAATGAGGTTTAAGTCCCAACTCTAGTGGCAAGAATGCCCAGAATCCTGACAGAATGGAGAATGAAGAGAGGGATTGCAGAACGACAATGCTTTATTTGGGGGAACAGAGCTGGGAAGAGAGGGCGTGCTTTCTCTCTTCCTCCCTCTCTCTCTCTCTCTCTTTGTCTCTGGGGAGTGTATACGCCCTATAGCAAAAATTTAAAGAAAAAAAAGATAGTCAGAATTATTAATCATGAGAAAAATTCAAATGAAAGCCACAGTGAAGTGACATTTCAGATTCACTCTGAGAGTTATCACTTAAAACAAATAATCAAAAAAAGACAACATCAAAAATTGGAAAATAACAAATGTTGGTTAAGATGGGAAAAAATTAGCCCCCTCATACATTACAGGTGGAAATATAAAATAGTTCAATCGCTGTGGAAAACACTTGGCAGTTTTTCAAAAAGTTAAATACATAATTACTATATTCTCTAGCAAACCTACTTCTGGGTATATGTTGGGAAAATAAAAAAAAAAAAAAAAAAAAAAAAAACAACAAAGGGGGGGGAGGGGACCAAAGGGAAAA